TTATTATTATTATTATTATTATTATTATTATTATTATTATTATTATTATTATTATTATGTTCCACTACGTACCATGCCCATTTAGGGAGAATAAATATAGGATGTGTTTTAATCACTACTGACAAAGTAACATTCCAACCCAAAAAAAAACTAAATAAATAATAAAAATCCATGTAAAACCAAATCCTTTACGAAATATTTATTCTGTTGGAACTGGTCAATCAATATCTAAAAAATAAAATTAAATGCCCCATATCATTAATCATTTTAATCAAGAAGGGTCCAATTTTGGTCAGGTCTATCGTGTTAAAAGATACACAAAGAGCCGTCAGATCAGAATTTTCCTTTATAACAATTTAAACTCGTCAATCGACACATTTGAAGTGAATGAACTGAAGCAAAATATAATCTCGTGGCCTCCACAATAGACCACATCAGACAGTACCATTTCCAACCTACAACACTTGACCGCAAGAAAATAATTCGGGCTAGCTCCACGGTCGGTCGGATAAATATTAATTCATCACGAGCTGTTAGAATATCGTAATTCTACTAAAGGTCCATTTCTTGATTCGAACGATAATACACAAAAGATGCATACACTCACATATTATTTAGTTTATGGTACACGAAATGTCATAAATAACACGCAGGCATTCAAGAGAATGCAAGATTCCTAGTGTACGCTGCAATCGTTTATTGATTTCTACCTCTGGAATCTCTCCCGTGTTCAACAAGAAATTGCAACAGTGAATGCTAGCCTAGCCGTTACTTGATTCATCATCGGAAACTTCTAAATAAAAGTGAGAAGGAATAATAAATTGACGCCACAAAAAAGATACGTCGCTGTTAAAAAGGAACAGAAACAGGATATGCAAATAGAGTTCTATATGAAATACCCACCTTGTCTTTTCAAACTCGTTTTATTTGTAATCTGACTTGTCCTCGTCATCTTTCATGTACTTCTCCTGCACTGCTGCAACTGTGAATTGCTATGTCAAGGAAAACGAACCATCAACTAGAGAAACTATTCCGAAATATACCAATTACTAGCTTAATCCAAGTGGCCAGATTGGACTAGAAGAATCAATTCTACAGAAAAAGAAATCCGAAATATAAATACTAGCTACATCCAAGGGGACAGATCTGGAAAAAAAATCTAGGTATATCAATTGGTACCCAAAACACAGATCATCTAGACACATTTTTCAGGATTGTAACATAAAAGAAGCCTAACATATTGGTCATTAATAAATCAGAAATCAGAAATGAATCCTTGTCAGGCTCCTGCACATAATCCATCAACTAAAAGCAGCCACGTCTAAACATGAATTGGGAATTACCAAATGCAGCCACATAAGTTTTAAAAGGTTTGAGAAAATGAAAGTGAAACGTGTTTGATCAAATAACAAAAAGAATTTGAAAACAATTAAATAAATGAGTAAATAGTTGCACGATTGGACATCCAAGCAGAAGGATATCTGTAGTAATCCCAATCCACCGGACCGACTGCAATTTTGCTGAACTCAATTGCACTTGCATCCATACCAGCAAATATATACCCATTGCTCTTGTCAATTAGTTTAACTAGATTGCCAACACTTTCTTTATCCTGAAAAACCAAGTAGGACTGAGAACCATTGGCTAGATAGTTAGCATAGACTTGTTAACACCACGCATAGATGTGAAGATGCCTGAATATCTAAAGTCGTGAAGTTGACCAGACCGTAATCCTCTATCACCTCGCACAGCTCCTTTGTAAGCTTTCTGCACCAAGAAACAGGTAAATATTACCTAAAAAGTAGCAAATTCAAGGATGAGAAGATTATCGTGAAAGTCCTCAACATGGGAACAGAGAGAAGAAAAGGAACCTGCTACTGGGGAAGAGAAGGGATGGGGGAGTGGAAGACGGTGGAACTCATGTATAATTTACCTTGCTCCTTTAGATTCTAGTCTCATTAATTATGTAGACAATACAAGATGAACTAGTGGCCTAATTTAGTCCAACAAATTCGTGTCAATTTCACTCCAAAAGTACACGAAATGAAAACCCAGATATCTGTAACGGTCCTGCTTTATGCTAGATTCTACGAAGAGGAACTTTAGCTTCAAACTCCACATCTTATTACTGTGGTAGAACAAATTTGCGTTTACAAGGTTTATATCACTTAAATGTGTCATCAAGAAGATTTGTAGTCAGTATACATTTTGCAGCTTCAAACTTTAAATAGAGATGTCGAATATCTAATAGTAAGGCTTTAGATGAAAGGGTTTAACAAGTTATCACGTCATGTAAAGGCCCTAAATTACGTGCTCTTTTGTTAAGGCCTTGAAACCTAAAAAGAGGGGTTTCTGCAACATATGGGATGAATTGGAATCACAAGTGGCACTAAAATGCATTTTATATGGTGGTGGCCCTTGGGGTATTGAATATGTACAAACATATCCAAAGATTGGTTGCTCAGCTGATTGTTTCGTTTTCCCGTATTCTACACGAAGGCAATTGTGTGGTAGATTTGTTTGCTTCCTCACAAGATTCCTTTCTATGTCCAATTGATCCCGTCGTATGATGTTATGCTAACGTGTTTGGACTTGTTATGCTTCCTTCTTTTCGATGATTATTCTACGCTGTCCTCCTTGCTTTTGCATTGGACTGTAAGGGCTAACATACCTTTATCTTACATTTTGTCCCTTCAAGTCAGTCTTGTAATTTTGTAGGAGGCTGAGCTTAGTGCGCCCCCCCCCCCCCCCCCCCCCCCC